CAGTGAGGGTGCCAGAGCCCTGGAACAGGCTGCCCAGAGAGGTTGTGGAGTCTCCTTCTCCGGACATCTTCCAAACCCGCTTGGACGCAGTCCTGTGCCACGTGCTCTAGGTGACCCTGCGTGTGCAGGGGGGTTGGACTAGATGACCTCTAGAGGTCCCTTCCAACCTTAAGCATTCTGTGATTCTAAGATTCTGTTTACTAACCATTCAAACATAGAAGTGAAGTTCAGTAGTGGCTCTTTATGGTATTTCTCTATAAAACAAGAAAACAGGATATCTGGCATTTGTGCAAAAAACATTGATTTCTTGTTTCCTCCTACCTGTTACACAGTTTGAGCAACAAATTTAATGTCATTCTGAGCCCATAACTGCTGCTAACTCCATTTTAGTGCTAGATTAACTCCATTTTAGAGCCTAAACTCCACAGCAGGGCCTGCTGACTCCATTTTAGTGCTGCACTGGCACACAGTATCTGGCCTCTGGTTTGCACTGGCCCAAGTGCAGCTGGTTGTGAGTGGAAGAAGTTTATGCTGCCTACACAGTGCCACACAGACCTACCTTGTCTGCTTGGTTCAGCTCTCCCATGGCTCCTACTCAATGGGCAATCTTTCGTTAATCAGCTGATAGGAATTTGAATAGTCAATTGATTATTGAGAAAATGTGGGCCTTTGGTTCCAGTGTTCAAAGCTTCAAGTGGAATGGGCATCATATCCCTGTGAGCCAGCTCTCCCTTCAAGACCCTGCTTTTCCGAAGAGCTGGAACAGAGGAACCATTAGTCTCAAGAACAGGACTAGAGAGCCCTAGGGGCAGCTTCCTTGGCTGTTTGCCCAGAAATTTTAAAATTTCCCAGATCATGTCATCACACCTTCTACCACATAACAAATATTTCTCTAGCTATCATCACGGATAAAAAGAGGTGATGTTGTGATATATTTTCCTTCAGAACACTTATTATTTGGGAGAAATACTGAAACCCTGTATATATCTGATAGAGTAGGTAAGTGAAGTGAATCTGTCCACTGTAGTGATGAACAGGGAGAGAAACAGAGATACATTGCATAAAACTAGAGCTGCAGCCTGCTTCATCATGAGAACGACCCTTCCAGTTTGTGGAATTGCCATTTTCCCTGTAGAAATCTGTTTATGCTCCCACTGATTTTGCCTAGAAGATCAAGATGAAAACAGCTCTTGTAGGCTTCATGTAGGTGGTGTTATCTATGTGAAGGCCATCACAGAAGTCTGCTACCAGCATTTACATCTTACATCTCCTGAGTAAGATCAGGGACTCAAGAGCATGGGTCTCCAGACCGATGTACCTGCAGAGAACTGTAGCTATATCTACAAGAAGTGTTTTTTGCTTTCTTGATGTGGATTATGTAACTAACTTATGAAAATGGTTCCTAAGCCAATTATCTTTCTTTCTGAGAAACAAAAATCAGTTCATGCTCTTCAAATGTCATCATTTCAGTAGTCAGGTGTAATAAGATGAGGACTGAGTTTGTACACCGAGTAATTAAATGCTCTGCTGGCCCTCAAAACCAGAAATATACTTATTTTGCCTCTCTAAGGTTTATTAATTAAACATAATAATAAGTTGTGTTAATATAAAAAGCATGAAAATTTCTATCAGTCAAAGTTTCTGCATTAGAGGGAACATGACATTTCGTAAATATCTTCACCCATTTTATTTCAGAGGAAGGTGCAGTGTTCCAGGAAACCAGAAGATGGTTGATCCGAAAAAAGGAGCAATTAAAAAGACTGTAGGAGTGAAGCAGCTTCCAAAACTAAAGGGCTGATTTAATGTTCTTGCCAAGAACTTCCAATCACTTTTATTCTTGTTTTTATATGTTTAACTAGAAGTTTCTGAATTGAAAATGAACATTTTTGTGCTGTATTATGGTAACAAACCCAGACTGGCATATCTTCTTGGCAGCCTTAGAGTACGCTGACTCTTTGCTTAATGGAATTGTTCTTCTAGTTGCTATCTCTGTTCTAGTATCTCTGAAGCTTCCCATTCTGGTTTTCATCCGTGATGCTGGTCATCAGGAATAAATGAAGCTTGGGGAACATTTAATTTCTTTATGTACTGGGTAGGTCCTTAGATTCTTTGGCCACATGGCAACTATGGAAAACAGCCTCTAACAGTTTTGACTTCTCAAATGAGAGGAAAAAGTAAAGGTGATATTCCCTGCAATGTAATCTCACTACCCAAAAGAGTCAATCTAAGGAAGTTCTGTCTAGGAGGCACCCTGTTTCAGTATGGCAGCAAAGTAAGTCTGTCTATAGTCTGATGCTCAGGCAACTGAATATCCTTTCATCTAGCATTTTCACATTTATTATTTACATAAAACAACAGCACAAACATAGTTTAGTAACCAGCCTGATTTGTTACCTGTAACACCTATAAGTATGTGCTATACTCCATGAGCTTTCTTAAACCTGCAGTGCAGGAGGCAAACCAGCTCCACACAGAGCTTTCTGACAAGAACCCCCGTTGAGCCCTTCTTCTCTTTGCATGATTTAGAAGCACATTGCCATTCCCAGATACCTTAAGCACTAGTTATAGGGAGAAATGAAAGAAAAAATTGAATATTTTTTAATTGAGGATTCCTCAGAGCAAGTCTTGTTGAGCAGCTTTTTGTTTTAAACACTACAAAATGTGTTGTGCTTCCTGATATGAATATGCTATTTGAAATTTGAACTCTCAGGTGAATGTTTTTATCCACAGCACTCCATAAAAGTCTCTACAGTAATCTTCCTTTGGACGAGAGTCCAAAGTCTTCTCTTCAAGGAATAGTAGAATTATTTTGTATTTTCATTCTCAGGCATGTAATCACTTTTGCAGTTTCATCACCTAAAACATAGTAGTCATGTAAGTCGTCAGTAGAGATTTTTCTGAGTGCCAACAGAAACAATCTTCTGGTAATGAAGCTTCAGACCTCTGGGTTACACCTTAAAAGCTCTTGGCAGAGCAAATGGGATTTATTGTCTGTCCTTTATTAATTTTAAGAGCATCTCTCTCTCTTTGCAGTATCAAATAAAGCTTTTTGTCTTTTTAAGAGTAATACTCAGAGTCCCTTATTACTGGCAGCATTGAAGTGAGGCTGTAATTAAACTATCACAAAAAGATCAATGATGTCATTCTAAAATGAGAGAAAAGAAGACCTGCAGTATTGTACAGCATATTCATTGTGCAGAGCCCTTTTTTCCTCTTCCATACTATGAGATTATAATAGATATTTATAATGTTACTGTAATGCACCTGGTATCTCTTTCATAAGCAGACTGGTCTCGCTGGCTGTATTTTGTCCACAGTCAGCACTGAAAGCAGAGCACAGCTGACTTGGTTAGCACTCTTCTGTTCCTATTTTTCACATGGAAAGCTTCCAGATTTTGATTGTGTTGGCATTTGTCATTGTGGACAAGGGGAGAGAAAAAATCATGCTAATGGTTCCATTGGCATAAAAGACAAGGGACATCTGCAGCAGTGAAGATTATCCAGTTCTTGGACTCGTGTAGCAGAAGGCTCTTCCTCCTGTCTCTGAATCCAGTACAATAGTCCCTGCATCAACTCCAGTCCTTGGAAGAACAGGAAACTTTGCATGAACGTGGCAGAATGGCCTTTATTTATAGCAGGAGACTTGAACACCTCCGTCATGAGTAGTGCTCACTAACAGTTTTGAAGCATAAAACAGACATTTATTGTTTGATACTGTAATGATCTGGGCAGAACTTATTAGTTCCTGTTTCAGCTTGCCAGAGCAAGCTCAGAATTTGAAACTCAGTTGCGTGGTAATTACTTAAGCCTTAAAACTTGTGTTTCACCATTCTGGTTATGTGCCCACCTGCAGTGTTTCCTTTGCAAAATGATCGTAGCTCTTTGCTGTTACTATTAATTTCCTTTGCCTTTCATTTCTTCTTGTCTTTCTGAACATAAGGGCACCCCAGATGACTAAATTTGATGACTCAGGTTTCTTTGTAACAGCAAAAATGTAGTTCTTGGTTTGAACAGTGTTCTTTCTTTTGGCCTGAATGAAACTTTTCCCCTGTTGTTTTTTCCTAACATTTTTCCCAAACCATGCTGGAGTTTGTGTTTTGTTTTCTTGAGGGACGGACAGAGGAAAATCCCTGGATTTTCTTTTTTTTTGATGGCTTTCTCAGTACTATTCTCTTCTGCTATGAAATGTCTTTTGTGTGCATTTGATATAATTATGTGTCTGTGCATAAAATCTTCTGCATAAGGATGTAAAGACATTTAGGAGTAATTAATCATTAGTGCCTAATATGTGTCATTATTCTCATTTTAGACATGGGAGACTGAATCACAGAGCCTGTTTTTTTAAACTAGGGATGGGACTGCACTAAGGTCTTTTTTCCCCTGATTTAGTGATAGGGTAACCTTTTGTAGTGTTGCTAACTGTTCAAAGGTAAATTCTGTCTCTTAAAATGTCTGTGCAGAAGATTCCAAGCAGATTCTAAAGGTATAAAAGGGAATCGAGTTGCTGATTGTTACTCTCAGTGAGTGAAAGGAGCCAAAGGTAGCAGGAAGATAACATCAGTGTGGAAGGTTTGAATCTGGCTGACTTCTCCTCGCAGTGAGAGCAGAGCTGGGATTCCAGGTCTGTCGCTACAGCGTAAGTGCCCGTAACTGATGGAGTGGGTAATTGGATCTCCTGATTCTTGGAATCTGAGCCCATGCTTCCTTTATGTGGTTACTCATGCAACTTCATTAGTTTCAAATGAGTCGTGGACTGTGATTTTTGAAGCATTTACTCCTCTTGTTGCTGGAAAAAAATGAATTAAAAAAAACCTCAAAACCTGGTAAGCAAGAATTAATTATTTCCCAAGCTACCACTCATTTTTTAAGTCTCATGATCTAAAAGAGTATTGAGTCATGATTTTTTCTTTTAATAAATCATATTGTAGCACTGTATTTCTCTATGACAGAATAAAATTAAAATGTTTACTGGACTGATATGGACTGTGTGGTTGATTACTATGCAATTAGGCTGCATAACCACAGACTTCAGAGAGCTTGGGTGGTGAGTTTCCTTGTATTATATTACTGATAAAAAAATATTTCATTGCTTAAATGCTTTGCTTAAGGATGAGCTCTCCATATAAATTACTGACTAGTTGGCACAGTTTGTGGCTTCACTGTTTCCTCTGACATTCTACCTCCACCAGTAAAGATAAGATTTATAATTTACTCTTAACACATTTCCAGCAGTGTAAACTGAGACATTTTTAGAAATGTAACATAAACAGACTCGCTAATAAATAAATGAAATGACCCTCACATTTTTTTTTCTGCTAAACAGTTGCCGCTGTTGCTGCCAGACTGGTGTCAATCAGTAACTTGAACCAGCCCTGTTAGGAGGCAGAAGTAAAATGCATGAATAAAAGTCACAGTTAATTGGAATAGTTTATCTCTTTACAGATGGGTGTCGCAGTAGTGACAGACATCCACAGACAGACGAAGGCAGCAGTAGGTTGCACAGGTCAGTTTAACGCGCTCTTCCAAAGATACAAACGTTGTATATAGTTCTGTGTATTACATCTTGGAATGGAGCTCTCCTAAACTTCCCTAATCAGTCCTGTAAGTTACTGACCAAGAACTACACACAGCAAAAAATAACATTTTCTCAATGGCTCACCCAGACTGCTGACCTGTCCGAGGAAATGCCCAAGAACCAAGAAGACCCGAGCAGCCAGGGCTGGTTTAAACTCTGAACCCTTCCAGGATGCCTGTCGCATTGGTGACATCTGCAGCAGTCACTGTCTCCCACATGTCATGCTCTGTGTATATGACAGCATCCTACATCAGATGCTCCTAAAAACATTGCTGGGGCTTCGTACGTTCCCTCATAAAGCAGAACTGAGGTATATCTTGTATTCTCTGTCCAGTAAGGCAGGTAACATCTAGCTGGTTTATCTGTGTCCTTGGTGTTATCTTACAGAAGCTTTCTGGGGTGCTTACAACTGCCTTTAGGTAGCCCTCAGATGTCCTTACCATCACCAGGGATGCAGGTACCTCAGCGGATAGCTGTGCAAAGAGGTATGTCAAGACTTGCACTTTCCACCCACAGTGTAGAGCAGAGGACTGGAAGGAGAGAAAGGGAGGTGGGTCCCTTCAGCACAGGCCTGTCATGAGCTCAGATAGCCAAGGGCTCCTGGGTGCTGTCATCTTTGCTCTAAGCAGCAGCCTCCTTTCCATTCTGGCAAAGCTCCCAGACTCCAGTCTCCATGTCACTTCCTCAGCCCTCCCTTAGCTGCCTGGGCCACCTCGAACTCAGCTTCAGGAACCCATCTGTAGAGTGGAGAAAACAGCATGTTCCTGGAACTGGGGAGTAATATGAGATAAATGCACCAATGCCGGAAGGAAGCCAGCTGGTCTGACACAGTGAGCCTAGATTAACCCATCCAAATCAAATGGATTTTCTTTTTCCTTGCAATGCAGGAAGGATAACTAACATTCTGCTATGTTGGTGATGAAAGTTAACAGCTGTTGCTGCTGCATCTTACTGAAAAAAGTTACCAGTCGTTGGTCATATCAGGGTATTGCCCAGAGAACACTGTAACACAAGCTGCTGTGGAAATCTCGACAAAATATAAAATGCCAGCCATGAAAAGAGAAGGGTCCCGTGTCAGGTGGGGCCGGGGACACTGTTAGCTCCCCCAGCGCACTGTGCAACAGGCGCCTCTTCCTGCAGCTGTCTGATCCCTCCCCACAGCAGCAAGTGTCTTGTGGGGCATCTGCTAAGGAATGATGTGGTCGAACTGAGCAGAGAAATCAGACACAGCTGAAGGGTTATTTTGGGAAAAGGGTGAAGCAACACGGATGTGCCCTTTTGACTTGCTTTGTGTTTGCTGGGAATGGGATACAGATATGACTTGGAAGAGGCAGAGAAGTGGAAAGGAAGGAAATTTAAATATGGGAATCATCAGTCCCAGCCTTAGATGTGCAACTTAAGAGTCATACATCTCAGTCTGAACTA